AATTTTATTTTTATTATCTTTACTCACAATCTTCGATCAGTTAAACCAGTTGTCCACCTCTATATTAGTTCTTTTATTCTAACAATTGTTATATCTGCAGCCTGTCTCCTCTCACCCACCTATGTTTCCGACTCGTAGAAGTTTCTCGGACTAATGGAGGATTGAACGTTAGGGAACGGGCCTGTAGAGCGCGGGTTTGGGGGGGGGGGAGGTAGTGAAGGAGCGACTTAGGCTTTCCAAAAATCATTTCAGCTTTTATGAGCTGTATATAAAATGTTTTATTTTTTAAATTGACATAATTTAGACTATGTAGACGTCAGGCTCCGACCGTACTTGTTAAGGCCAAAGCAAACTGAGAACTGGAATCCTAGCATGAAGTCCGAGATGCTTAATGGAAATTCTTCACACTAGGGAATCGAACTTGAGTCCCTTGAGTGCAACAGCGCTACGCCAAAAACGCCGATTCAACTTTTGAATTATAGTTTGAGGAATTGATTTGTCAGAAACAACAAGATCAGGGAAATGGTGGGAACAACACCTGTCCTCCACTACATTCGAAGGCAAACAATCAGGTGGTTTGAACATCTCACATGTATGACACCTAACCAGCTTGCTAGTAAAGCTTACTACAGGAAAGTATCATGGTACAAGGCAAGAGGAAGACCAAGAAATACCTGGATCCGGGGTGTGAAGGATTACTTAAGAACATAAAATGTAAGGAGGCGTGGTGGAATCAGGCTCTCGTCAATTTTTGGGAATGTAGAGTTATTGGTATCATCTTAAAGCTTGTTCACTCGTCTTTATGTGGATGAAAAAAATATCCATTTATCTAGAATGCAAGTCGAGATATTTGCGAATAAAGGAGGTGGGGGTCACCTGTTTTCAGAGGTAAAAATAGTGAGAAAATGGCTGCCAAAGATTAGTTATTTCCTTAGCTTAAGAGTCCGTGGTAACTGAAAATTGACATTTTTCGTTCCTTTAATCAACGTTTTTCAGAAAAATCCACACAAAAATGAGTTCTTTAATGGGCATGAAAGGTGTTGAGCCAAAAAACAAAAATTGGATAAAAATTCGCAAACCTGCGGAAAAATGCAAGTTTCTTCACTTTGATTATTTTGACGAGAGTCTGATTCCACCACGCTGCCTCACAAATATCCCACCCAGCAAGGCCATCTGACTTGCTAAAGACAGGAAGCTCTTTCTCTCCTCGACGCCCTAGATGTACAAGAGGACGGATAAAGTAAAGTAAAGAATGGATTTTCCGTAATAAAGACTGAGGGTACTTTATATTTACTTTGGGGCTCTTTCTAACACGCTTTGGTTGCTGTAACAAAACGATAAAATTCTGATTTGCCAAAGTCAAGGTTGATAAGGGCATCGTGCAATACTTTAAAGTTTTCCGTTTCCCTACGGTCACCGCTTTTATCTATGCTTATTGAAATGCTTCTCAAGCATTCCAAAAGCAAACCACTCCCCTTTTCAACTGTCCCTATCCGTCAAGTCTAGAGCTTCTACTTCTTTTGTAGCGTCACTATTTCTGAACTACCTTGAAGGAAAACTCCTTATCAATCACTTTAGCGCGACTTTTTCCTTTTACATTTAGATAAAGTGTATTTGTCTTTCAGACCAGGTGCACACGATGAATTGTTATTCAAATACCTCCTCATGTTGCAGGCTACGAAATAACGAGCCACTAATTGGTATCTTAGAATTACACATTTCTGTCTGACATTTTTTGGCCGTTTTGGGTTACTAATTGACTAAGACCATGAAGTCAGAAACCAAATTATATTCTCTCTCTTTATAAAAATCGTAAGGTTATCGGGAGTCGTTATCAAGATATTCAAAGAATTGCATTCCGAAACGCTTGACATGTGTGTGATACTCAAAACATTTGTAATGTCAAATTTCTCAAAATTTGGTACTGAGCCTTTTAAAATTTCAGGTAAATAAAACAGAATTGAAAACTGTATACAAATAACAAAGTCATGATTACAATAAAAAGTACCCCCAAACAACTCGTTTACAAGCGTTGCCAGTAATTAGTGAGTGGTTGGCAGTTGCTCTATGTGGCGTAAGCTATACGTTCTTATACTATCCCTCTGAACGTCCAGGGCTTAAGCCTTCTCTCTTAATCCTGTTATACGTCTATCGTCCTTATCTCTCCTCGGTCTGTTCTCATAGCGTAATACTCTAGCAACACTTCTAATCTTCTGCACTTAAAATTAATTTCCTATTTGTGTTGCAAGCGCTGCAAAACTTACTAAAACTAAAGTGTTGTCGAATGAATAGTACGAATGCCCTCAATGAGATGAAGCTCCATATCGTCGACTATTCACGTATAGCTTTGTTACTGGAGAATCTGGATGTCCTTCACCCTTTATCTCACTGAGCCCATCCGTTGGAAACTTCCCTCCTTGAGCACACTTCAGCTGTTTACATAATCGCATTCACTGAGAATATTCTGATAACACAAAGATGACGGACAAGTTCTAGTTATTACATTGTCCTAACAAAAAAACGTATCTTGGACATTCAGCATTATAATCTTGATTTCTGTGTGTTTTGGATATAACTACGCAGATTATGATTGTCTAATGTATGTAGAAAATGGCAAACTGTAGAGACAAATGACGATAAAAGTAAAACTATTTTCTTGATGTGGAAGGGGGCAATATAAAATGTCCTAGATAATCGTGCTGTGCCGTAGTATATTACTCAACAATAGTATACTGCAGTACATAATCTATATCATATTATTCTTTACACTAGTCTGTTATACCATGCCATGCAAGACCATACCAGACCATACCATATCATACCAGACCATACCATACCAGGCCATACCGTACAATACCATACCATACCGTACAATACCATACCATACCGTACAATACCATACCAGGCCATACCATACCATACCATACCATACCATACCATACCATACCATACCATACCATACAACACCATACAATACCATACAATACCATACAATTCCATACCATACAGTACAATACCATACCATACCACACCATAGCATAGCATACCATACCAAACCGCACCATACCGAACAATAACATACCATACCTTACCGTACCATACCATACCATACAATACCATACCATACCATACCATACCGTGCGTTTCAATGCTTTCAATGCTCTATTTTTCAAATAGTTTGTGATTTTAAGGTGCAAGAAAGCTATTACCTTATGTCACAGTGCTCCCTCCCCCCTCCCCCCCCCACACACAAACAGTCCGAGTGAAGGGAACGAAGAGAGTCGTAACAACGTGCCCTCCTACACAGTGTTAGATAATATGCTCTTCTGTCTTTTTCTCTCTTTGTCTGTCTGTCTCCCCCA